TTTTTTTTTTTTATGCGCACGTGCCCCTAAATATTTTTTACAGTTCGCACACACGTATTTTTAGTCGAGTGAAACGCTCGCACTGTGGAGCGCTGGATCTGACAGCCTGAGCACATCGGCACAAAACACTACAGCGTTCGAGATATTATTTATATCATGAGAAGTCAATACTTTCGGCAGCCTAAATCTTTTATTTAGAAACTATGGCGGGTCAAATTAAACTATGGCGGGCCGCCATAGTTTCGTTAATTAATGGGAAACACTGAGCACGCTGTGCCAGTACAGATTTCAACCAGCAGCAGAAACTAAAGGCAAATCCTGCAGGTTGTGGGTTGAATGGGGGTCACAGACACAGACGGGAATGTATTCCTGTCAAATACGGCGGAGGCTCATAGTGCTGCGCGGCGCAAGAAGGGCTTACCGGCGACAGCTCTGAAGTCTGACTCCAGGTCCAATAATGTCCTCTTCTTGGCGTCATGACTGCCCAAAAGTACCTGAACAGCCGAACTGTGGCGTTCACATTTCTCTCTGTGTGGCAGGGAACGGCCCACAAACCTCACCGCACTTTAGGGACCGTTCGTTACTTATGAAGGGACCGTCAGGGGAGGAGGGTGGCTGGTTGATTCTTATTTTATTTGTTTATTTATTTTATTTTGATCCCCCCTATGTTAATCACTGATTGATGCTGTTTTTGAAGTATGAATAAGTCAATAAGTAATTTATTCCACTGAAATATCATTGATGTATTATAGAAAAGTGATTTATCTTTTTATAAATGACAAAAGGCACATCTGCCTCATTTTCGTTGTGGTGTCGTGATACTACTCTGAACCATGATACTTTCACTGGTATCGTACAGTGGGTCCCAATTTTGGTACCGTGACAACACTATAATGAAGTGAACAAAACGCTGTCTGGTTACAACTGCTAACGTGTTTTATTCTGTTGAAAAGTAGAAGTAAATAGAGGTGCCCGACATGTCTCTTGTTTTAAGTCAGGGGTGTCCAAACTGTGGCTCGCGGGCCAACTGTGGCCCGCAGTCCATTTTTAATTGGCCTGCAGGAAATTCTAGAAATATAATGAAATATGGCCCACACTTGAAACTTGCGCATGACTGTATTGTACTTTTTAGTTGTAACACTAGGGGGAGCTACTGTTGAACAAGGCAGCTCCTCCACCAAAAAAGGGCAATCAATCAAAGAAAAAATTTACAAGGGTGAAGATAAGCTGCAATTAGAACTCATCGAAATGCAGTGTGATGATTCTCTGAAGAATCAACTTCAGCATTTCTCCCTCCCCGACTTCTACCGGAGCTTTGAAAAGGAAAAGTTTCCTCTGATGTCTGTTCAGCTCAACATACGTATGTGAGCAAACATTTTCTCTGTTAACGCTGAACAAAAGCAGACTGAGAACCAAAATGACCAACAGCCATCTCCGTGATGTCCTTTGCATCTCAACCACCAAGTTTACTCCGGACCTGCCAGCCATCCTTCAGTCCAAAGCGCAGCAACATTGCTCCCACTGAGTGCAATGCAATGCCGTTCCCATTTTAGGTTAGTTAAAAATATATTACACAGTATTCATGTGTTAATAAGCAGGGGTGCACATAACTGGTATGCAGGTATGCACGTGCAACAAATATCAATAATGCCTAACATCCCTTCTGTCACTACTCCGCTTTTGCTGAACAGTGACACTGACTTCTTGTCTACGCGTGTTTCTTGTTAAGACACAAAGGAGTAAACATCGCTGTGCACAGCACACACACAAAATCAGCTTATTGCAACTTTTCTTACCGTGAGGCAGATTCTGTCGCTCCGTAGTCAAGTGACATTAGTCCGGATTTTTGGCACGAGTGGCGTCCGATCAGCCACAGCAGCTAGATTGTCAGCATCGCGGCTGATTTAAATACCCAGCACAGCTGGGAGAGGATTAAAGGAGTCTGGTGTGCAGAGAGGATTATTGGTACTGATCTTCCCTCCATAATGGACCTGTACAGGTCAAGGGTCAGGAAACGGGCAGGAAACATCAGTGTAGACTCCTCACACCCTAGACACAATCTGTTTAAACTTCTCCCCTCTGGTAGGCACTACAGAGCAGGGATGGGCATTTGAAGAAATTTCCCTTATTGATATTCGGAAAAGTTAACGATCAATTATCGATTAAATGTCCATGACATAAAATACTAAAGACAGCATGTTTTTCCTCAATGAAATATTTATTCCAAGAACTACATATAGTCCAACAATCCTCGTAGACAGGGCAAACAATTGTATTAGATAAGCAGTTAAAGTTTAAACGTTTTACTGTTAAACAAAAAAGATATGCTGTGCTCCGGCAGCCGAGCATCTGGCACCGTGCCAAACCTCACACAAATTAACGAGCCAACATTACTGTGCTCTTGAACACAGTTGAGCCTCTTTTAGACACAATTCCAAAAAACAATCATATCAAACGATAATAAATTAAAAAAATATATTACTTATGGCTGACAATTTTTGCCAAAATGTAACTTCAAAGTTCAAATGAATTCAAACGTAATTCACAATCAAATATGCCTATTTAACTAGAGCATCATAAAACAATAACAAGTGACTCACATAAAGGCTATGGTGGTGACTGTCCACTCCGAACAAAGTAATGTAACTACTGATTCTTGTTGAGGAATATTAGCATGTTAACATGCTCAGGGGTGAGACGCGAGCGCAGCCTGGTGACAGTCAGTCCAGCAGCTGAAAACACCTGCTCTGACGGGACCGAAGTTGCAGGGATGCAAAGGTATTGACACACTAACCTACACGACATTGCAATATTTACACTGGACTTCATCATTTTTTAAGTTGAAATGGTCCCACACCAAACTCCGCTTTGACCGCTTCATGTTTCCTTTTGATTTCTACGGCAACCCGGAGGCAGTGGAGGTTTTCTCTGTCTCCTAAAAATAGTTACATGTCGCCCCCTGCTGGTGAAATGTCTCATTGCTGCCACATAGTGAAATTCATTGCATTGCTTCAAGACAGACACACTACACAACAGATCTACAACATTTCACGTTATCGAAAACAATCTTAACGATCAATTATCGATTAATCGATTAATCATGCCCTACCCTACTACAGAGCACTGTTCGCCAAAACCACCCATCACAAAGACAGGCTGTCGCTCTGATAAACTCCTAAACAGTCACAGAGTGGCAGGTCAAACAACACTGCATCCTTGTATATTCTGTATACTTTTTATGTTTTTTTATATTTGATTTATAGCTGCATATTTTTTGTATGGTGTATATTCTGTATATTCCACTTCTTGCATAAATTTGAGTACTTATGTCAATTCTGGTACATTGAGAGCAAGTCTGCCGGAGTCAAATTCCTTGTATGTACACAAGTACTTGGCAAATAAAGCAGGTTCTGATTAGGGGTGAGTTCGTGTACAAAAATCTCTAAACGTTTAGAGTGAGAATGAGCTGCCAACCCTTTTTTTGAATAAATAAATGAAAATCCATTAGTGGAAAGCTGTGATGTAGGCGTTTGTTTGTCTTTAAGCGTATTCAACAATATAACATATTTGACCAACTTTTGATTGATTTTTCTGACTTTAATACACAAGAGATGAGGTCATGTACCTCACCTCTAGTTAGTGGCCTAGCCCTTTGTATATTTTTCTGTATGTGGCCCTCAGCGAAAAAAGTTTGGACATCCCTGTTTTAAGTGAACTTTTGCAAAGTAGTTACTTATTTGAGCTCAGTTTCCGCTGTATACAGACAGGGACCAAACCATTCTGAGGCAGATGAGGGGAGAGGATGCAATCTTTTTAAAGTTATAAATGCATTGTGTTGCGTATATAATTGGTACAAGTGCTTTAAT